CGTTCGCAGTCGTAAAAAGGTGTGTGGAAAAAAAATAGCTTGGACATTCGATCCTCAAAAGTCTGCGGGTCGCTTGCTCGTGCTTCTGAGTTCCATGACGCAACCGGCTCAGGCATTTCATTCACGTCTAGACACGGATATGTCGGAGAAAAATTAAAAAAAACATTTGGCGGATGCTCGTGACGCAGAGGCAGTGCGCACGAGTCGTCTCCCCGCCCCATGACACTCGCTTCGAGTGACGGCGCAACAAATTCCATGAAACAAAAAAGACATGCATGTTTCGGGAAAGCAAAAGCAAAACGAAGATGTCGAGCACGTTCGCGGAATTACAATCCACGTTGATGATTGCGGCATGGTGGTGGGGATCTTTGCGGTCGTTGACCGAAATTTTTACCGATGTCCAAATCAGCATTTAAGAATTCGCAGGTCGTGGGAAACAAAGATGTTTTCAGATGTTTTCATTCGTAAATGCCGTGAAGGCTGATGGTCGATCGTCGCAGGTGACAATATTTCGACGGCAAGTGCAACATATGCACAATCAAATATTCTTCAATATCTTCAGCGACCTTTGCACAGAACGTTCGGGACGAACGGTGGCGACACACCAACCCAGTTACCATCCGCAATTCCTGGAAAAGCTGACAGCAGGATTCGTTTGAATCATCATGAACAGCTCATTAGCCCCCACTGCTCCATTGCATAAATGTACCCCCTCCAATGTTCGTACAGCCTGAATAATGGGTCAGGACTAGGCCGCACGCGCGTGGTGATTTCTGAAAAGTCCGTGATGAAAAGAAACCAATTGCGTTCATAATATCCTTATGATGAGGAACACATGTGTTATGAAACATACTTTGGTAAATCGTAATTCTGACAACGTGCAGGACTTGCGCGGGAATTCCAGCGTGATGTTTTGCGCCGACATTGCGCTATGTTGGTTTGGAAATGCTTGAAGAATGCATGGATGTCGGCAACCGCCCCGGCAGAGTCCCGGAAGAAACCGCATGCCCCGAAGACGGGCCGCATGGTTGGCAGATGCACACTTCACGCGCTCGCACCACCCGCAATCGGGAAGGTGTGCGTGCTACTGGCATACGTCGCCCAGTTTTCAGGCGCTTCTACGCTCCGAAACCAGGCGGCAGGGGCCTGGCTCGCGGCGGAACCGAGAGAGCCTACCACTTGCCGCGATGCAAATTGGCACCACGGCACCGGCTGCGACAGCCGTGCCTCTGAGAGGGAGCGCCCGCGGCCCAAACCCTGGGTGCAGCGCAGCAATCGATGATTTAGGCGACCAAGCGCTTACCTGCCCGCGCACGGGCCTGCTGGCTAGGCGGCTAGGAGAGCCAAGCTCGTAGAACGAGCGTGGGTCCGAGTCGTGCAGGAGGCGCTATTTATGGCGTGACACGCAGTGGCGGGCTCCTGTATTGCGATGCCATGCTTGTGTCTCCCCTGACACGAAAAGGACACTTGCAACCATGCGCAGGGGTGGTTAACGGAGTCGCACCCAGCAGGCGCGCATTTTCGTGCGGGACCTGGTCAGGCTGAAAGGCCAGCAAGCCATTAACGCCATCCGCGCAGCAGCGTCCGACGTTTAGGCGAGGCTGGTGTGGCATGTTGTCCGTGGCAGTGCAGGAAGCCATCGCCAGAATCGCGTTGGGAGGCCCTTGGCTGCACCCGCTGCAGTCTGAAACCAGCGACGGCCCGCCGCTGGACACCTTGCTCCACCTCGATGCCTCTGCCGGCCAAAGCCGCTTGCAGTTATTAGGACCGCCACGTTAGACGAGTCTGCTGCGACCGCGGTTGGCACACCCTGGCTCGAGAAATGTGATGAAGAAACGCTCGACGTCACATATTGCAATTGGCGTGCGCTCAGCGTAGAGATGCCAACTACGGTTAACTAGTTCAACGCCAAACTCGCTCTGTGTCCTTACTGCTGATTCAGTTTTCGGACGAGGCCAGCCCGCAGCTGGAATGAACTTAGCTAGCTGGCTGTCGGGTTCACTGGCTTGCTCGGTAGTAAGTCAACTAAGCTCGCCAGTTGGCTAGTTGGCTAGCCAACTAATCTGTTGACTTGTTTTCACTGGCTGTAACGATCTCGCCGCATTGGGATTGCCTTGCGTCCCAACGGCGGAGCCGTCCCAGTCCGCCCTCGCAGTCGTTGTAGCTGCCTGCCGGTGCACGAGCAAGAACAGTAGGCAATCTTGACTCAGGCATGTTTTGTGTCCTTTTGAGGTGCCGAGGGGGTATGAGTTGTCTGTGCGGATGATGGAGCATGGGAAGCTCGGGCATAGAGCAGTTTATGCTGCAGAGGAGGGCAGCGAAGGTCTTAAATCAATAGGACTCTGAGCTGTTTTCAGCAAGTGTGATCGCACGGGCTCACAGTTTGTGTTTCGACTTCCATCCCGTCTCCTTAGCTGCCCGTCCAAACCATGGTCCAACCAGGCACGGCGCGTGGCTACCGCAAGTGCGGTGGGGTTATGTGAGTTATGTGCAACTACGAGTGACGGGCGCGCAGAGGGTTATGTAGGAGTGTCTCACGACTGGTCTTGCATGGACGCTGCCTCGAAACAGTATCGCCACAAGATGCGAGGTTGCTATGGCAAGCAGTCTCGTCGCATGGAGAAGCGGCAGCCCGTGAAGCGAACCGAGCTTTGCGCTTTCTTCGCCGAGACTCGCCTGAATTCCGACCGCTCCAAGATCGTTCCCGTCGTTAGATCGTTCTTCATCCTTCTGATGTCGACGTTTGTTTTGCGAGGGGTCCTGTCCTCCGGCATTTCATGTCTTTCGCGATTCGGAAAGATTAAACCGTAAACCCTAACCCCGTTAAACCTATCCTGAGCCCAGGCGGGGATGTGTACCCGTGGGAGCCGCTGCACCTTTGCTCACGGCGCTGCGCAGCTACGCCCACGCCCTGACCTCTACAAGACAAGGCGTCGGTCCGTGCTATCTAGACCTCTATACCCGCAAAGCGGCAAACCATAAACCCAATCATCATCGGTCATGGCTGGTGAATTTCCGGTCCCGGACACTGGGAGGCTCTGCGACTCGTGGGCTTTGCGCTGGCCCCAAGGGTTTCAAGAAGTTTTTTGGTGAGGTTTCCGCATCTCTAGTGAGACGGCAGTGCCAGGAGGGGTCCCTTGCTGCAGTGCTTAGGAGTCCTGATGGTAAGGATCCGAGTTTACTGGCCTTTTTATTCGAGTTCCTGCATTCCTGAAGGATCGAAATAAACCGTGAGGCTGCGGCGCTGTCCTTATGGCGACAGATGCACTCATGCCCACGGCCCTCAGCTCAGATTGTAGAGGCCTTTGAGGTCTTTCAGGTCTTTACTGGTACAGGTTATACCGTATATTGAAGCATTGGAATCTGTCGGGTAGTGGGGGAGGATCGAGGATCTGAATTTTTGCAACTGGCACTGCAGAAACATTTTTGAAATCTACACATGTCCTTCTTATCAGAGTGATGTACTAGGATGCTGACCAGAAAAGGGGCCAGATCGTGTAATTCAAGTTCTAACGGGCACTCGCATGGGCAGCGAAGGTTCTGAAACATCGCACCACGCCTTGCGACATTCAAGCACTCGCATCGCATGGTGCGCATGCGTATAGGTGAAGAAGAACTACGTGCAGTCGATGATCTGGAGGCCTGTGGTAAGAAGACAAGATGTTGAAAAACAATCAGTTCCAAGCACAATGCCACAGCTTGTCGCAAACATGTGACTCGGTGGTGGCGCACTGCCCCTTGCACAGAGTCTAGTAGCAGAGATTTAGTTATTTTGGGTATCTTCAGTACAGGCGCGCGAGCTCATCAAGGAGGTGTCCTCGACGGCATCTGGAGACTGCGAACCCGAGCTTCCTGGCAGACAAGCAAGGGGACTCGACTAACAGTAACGCGAGAGTGCGGGAAGGCCAGGTCTAAAACCCTCATGGGCTCTTGGTTTAGGGCCCTAAACCCCAAACTCAAAACCCC